TGTCGTATCATAGGAAGGCAGGCTATTACGTAGTTCTTCTGAGAACTTTATGTTTTGCAGTAAGTCCTTTAACTGTAGTTAAATGAAAAGTATATTTCAGACTTCATTATCTCCTCAATGGAGCTTTAATATTTTTTGTTGTTTCTGAAGAAAGCTGACATGCGCTGTACCATTTCTTACCATCAGGAAGGAGTGTGAATAGTGCACCGCTGCATGGAACAGACTGAGCAGACGTGTGTCGTGTCTTTGAGAGCAGCCACCACGTCACCCTTTGTTACAGCGATCTGGCGAGTCGTCTGAAAGAGGTGTAACTGTGCGCCCCAGGTCGGCACTGCATGATGGTGCATCTTTGTGACCCAAATTATCAATTTCTCTTCACATTCCGAGGCACGGGTCATTTCCGCAATCGCAAATGAATTCATTTTGGGTGTGGCGTGATTCTGGTCACGGAGCCCGGCAATGCTGGATAGTCGGTCAGAGGTCATTTTCCACAGCCACCGTTTGTAATGCAATGATTGCACAAGTTTCATTGTTAGGCATTGCATGAAGGGAGTCGTGACGGGTGCCCCAAGCTTTGTCACCCAGGTGTGCGTAGGTGTGCCAGATCACCTCGGCACACTGAAGCATTGCGCGGCGGTTTGCTGGCGACTAGAAGTCACAAAGGAAACAGAATTGCAGCCTTCTTTGTGGGGACATGCACGCCCGGAGCAGAGCGAGAAAGAGAGTGAGAAGAAGAGAAAACGGAAGAAAGTAATTTAAGAACGAGAAATAATTGAATGCATAACATAAAAGAAGAAGGGATGAAGGGAACAAAGAAGTTTCGGAAGAAAGAAAGGGATACTAGCAGATCCTGTGAACCTGCTCGAATTTGAAGTCGGACGGCCGGGAAGACCCCGTGTGTGTATGTCCTGAAAATAATGAATTACAGTGAACATGCACCTTGAGTGTCAGGAATTGCACTGCCCGTACAATCCCGATAGGTAGGCGGGAGGATAATATTGAAAAGGATTTTAGGAAAGTGGGCTCAGCATAGCAGCTAGGGTGAGGGCACTTGTGAATACGCCATTGAACCTTCTAGTTCCAAAGAAAAGAAGAATTTCTTAACTGACTGAGCAACCAATAGTTTCTCACGAAGGTCAGGTAACTAACTTAACTAGTTAAGGACTACGCTATAAAGGCATATGGGGAGTGGATATATACGTAGATGGACATTTTCTTCGCCTCGGCCCTGGCCGCCTTACCCCCGAGGAGAGAGCGCCTGGTACCCATTGGATAGAAGGTTGGGTGGACCTCAGAGCCGGTCTGGACGACTTGGAGAACAGAAAATTCTTGTCCCTACAGGGAACGAAACTCCAACCCCTCAGTCGTCCAGCCTGTAGCCGCGCTGCCTTAGCGACTGTGCTATCCCGGCACCGTTTCTCACGAAGGACTGCGCTTAATGTAGTCAGTTAATTAGTCAAAGTAATATTATAATGTGGGATAGAACTTATTGCCCTCAATGAAACTAAATGCTTCTTCACGGACTTGCAGTTCGTCATTCACAGTGATCCAACCATTCGAAGCTTTAAAGCCAGTGCAGTTCAGCTGCAAATCAATCAGCAATCAACCCAGAGGCTTCTCTGGTTACTTTAAAGACACTGTGGCACTGTGTACATAGCTGAGAAGCCGTTCTCTGATGGTTGTTACGTGTTTCAGAAGCAGCAGAACCTATTCTTTTTACCTCACTTTTACGTTTCGGAGGGATTCGACATGGTTTGAAATTCAGGACTTGCTTAATCACACATAATCACATGGCTGCACTAAGTGCCCCCTTACAGCATGAAAGGAACCGTTCTACTTACCAACATTTAATATGGTTCACACTTGAGTGGTTACGTCTGCTTCTTAACTGCTCACAGTTCCAGAAAATAGTTAAACCGATTTGCGAATATTTCTTTACGCGTAACCGCAAATTATGCACCCTTATTAAGTGCCTGCAGCGCGTAACAAGAGCATGTGGAGCCCAAGTGGCTTCTGCGCGGCGTCAGTTGTTGCTTCTCTTGTGACTGTCCACTTTCTGCTCTTGTGGATAACCTGAAAAATGTGTTGCAATCCGAGTACGCATGTCATTCAAATGCATTCCGTACCCCATTGCCCTTCAAGACCGTTTACTGCGGGTGCTAATAACTGTCAGGAAGCTGACTGCACTCTATGTCACTAATTATTATGTCGTTTCTCTCTCTTTGCACCGTGCTGAAAAATGTTAAAAATAAAAATTGCAGATCTCAATGAGTGTTTTATTTCATGTTCTCTCTCTCTTTTTTTTACACTGAACATTTTTCAAGAAACTGGTATAACTTTTTGAGCTACATGTATTGTTCCAATATGAACCAAAGTAAATTCGCCGATAACTTTAAGCACAGACCCTTCAGTACTAAATTACATCGAACTCCGTCATGTGGTTCCGGATGTGGAATTTGCAGCACATCCTAACTATTGTTCATTCAATTTATGCCCGTTACACATGTAACCTCTAAAAAGTAAGTAAAGGGATCCCTGTAACAGGCCGTGGAGGCCCATAGGGTTGTGAGACGTCGAGGTTCCCACATTTTCTAGACAGTCGGCTCATAGATGGCGGCAAGGTTGTGAGCCTTACGCGCCGGCCGCCCTTTACCCCCGGGAAAATTCCTGGTACTCATTACTGCTATAGGCTGAATCGACCCCAGGACTATAATGCGGATGGAAGGATTAGGTTAACTGAAATATCCATTGATCTTATCGGGAATCGAACCCCCTACCTTCCGGCTTGTAGCATAGTGCTTCAACCAACTGTGCTACCGTGTGCCCCACACACGTTGAGTAGAAAGCCTCCACGTATGGAGGGTAACAGTCGCGAATGGTCGACAAGGGGAGATACACCAGTGAATGGTTAAGCGTGCGGCTAACAGCCATTTTTTTTTCGTAAAAAGAAGCTCTACGTTACAAAATGTTAACAGTGACTTGGAATTGGGCGAATTCTGTGGAATAACCCAGAAGGTGGATGGGATGGGTCCGGTTCGTGTTCAGTGGTCTGCTCTGATATAAGCGAAATTGAACCTCCGGATTTTGCTACTACAATGTTAGTGAGTTCCGTAGCCTGGAATGTTGGTTTTGATCTACTTCTTCTTCTTCTTCGTCTGGTGCTGCTTCTGCCTTACATGGAGTAAGCTCGAAGTGATTGTATTTTTCACACTTATCATCTTGCTCTATCCTTGTCCGTTTTGTTTTCTGCTGAAAACATGTTTTCCATCTGTTCATTTTGTTAGGATGAGGCAAACCATTTTTGTCTTATTGGTTTGTTAAAAATTCTATGGAATAAATACAAAGTTCCTTCCATATACCTGCAGTTCTAGTATTATATAACATCGAAATAAGCAAAATAACTTTCACCCAATGTATCTGACATTTAATTTCCGCTCCCTGAATTGTAATAACTTTTTGTCCCTCTTAAGAAAAGTTCCTTTCCCGTTTAATCCTTTTGTAACGGATTCGTTTTTAGTTAAATTCACATATTTAAAATGCTATAACTGATGGGCTGTTAACACGATTTGTTACCTGACAAGGCAATTGAGTCTCCGATAATGCTGCTAACAATACAAACCTATGGCTGATTGAGAAATTGATCACTCATCTGTCCACTCCGTCACTTTTTGAGATATAAGATCTCGTAATTCTCCCGGAGTTTAAAGTCGTTTAAAATATTTTAATTTGTATCCACCTCTTGACATAATTTATTACTGAATATTAATCCTTTCTGTGCTACAATCTGACTTCTGCGTCAGAAATCCCGGGTACTTATGATCTTGACTTTTTGGTGTATAATTGGTAGTCCTTCAATAAAAATGAACTCTGCTGCCATCTTTTGACACTTAGAGCTACTTGAACGTTATAAGCAGCCGCATTTATTTTAGATGAAACTAAACACAGAGAAAGCTCAAATGGGCTGAGCTGCTAGATATGCTTCTCCAGTGAGTCTCTCTCGCTTTCTGACACTGCATCTGCCTTTCGAAATTCTTGATTGTGTCACTACTTTCATGGCGCTGGGTCCTCCTTGAGAGGCTCATAGTCGCTCACCTGGTCCAAAAGTTCCCCGTCTTCCATGGGAACTGCAGTTCTATGAGATGTACGGTGCTGGCGGCCATGAATATGAAAGTTGAAGAAAGCAATCTTCTGGGCTTTGGCGCCGTGTATATGTGGTGTTAACCGACGTTTCGGAGGAACGTATCGCCCCCATCTTCAGGGTTGAAGAAAAAGTATAGTTCAACCCTGAAGATGGGGGCGATACGTTCCTCCGAAACGTCGGTTAACACCACATATACACGGCGCCAAAGCCCAGAAGACTGCTTTCTTCAACTTCACCGCCGTGAAAGCCTCAAATCTTACAATATGAAAGTTGCTTTCTTCTGAGAGACGATGTAGTCTATTGTGATAGAAAGGACCAGAGTAGCCTGGAGATGGAAACAGAAATTTATCCGAAATATTGACGCCTTTCCCTTAGACTATACGGCGTCACATCCCGGAAGACTGACTTCATGCCCATTACCGGGTTTACTCATGCATATCCTGGTCGAGTTGACACTCACATATTATATTGATAAGAACCATTGTAATATTCTTACCATCTTCGCTTAGATCTTCCAAGTGGTCTCTTCCCTTAGGGTTTAACGACTAAAATCACCATCCTCTCGTGAAGAGAAGGCGAAGCAGTTGGAGACCAGAACTTTCGACCGTGATTATTGTATTGTTCATTTAGGGATGCACTGAGTTTCAGTGTAGCAAGGAGAACGGTAAAAATCTCCCAGAAATCATGCGGGCCTTGGCTAATTGCTTCACCTTCCCTTCGATAAAGAGAAAAGGCAAGAGAGATTTGTCTAAGTTCCTTCCGTGTACTTGAAATATTAATATTATCTAACATTAATATAATCAGTTCCCCCACCACTCCAGTGGGACGGAGAGTAACATTTCGGCGACTCATGTTGCAGATGGTGCTGGAGAGGTGAGGTCATGGCGGCCACAGACGGGCAGATCGCGGTGGCTGCTGCCCGCTGGGCGGACGAGGGTCACTATCTGCGTGAATTTGTCGCCAAGCACGAACTGCCAGCCGTGGTGAAGATCATCAAAGGCCAGTACGGGGGCCTGGGTGTGCCAACTCTGCCGAGCCCGGGGCTCCAGTCCACGGCGCTGATCGTCTCTGCGGGGCGCCGACACAAGATCGCAGCGCAGGCCGTGAAGCTGAAGGAGGGCCGCAGGGTGGCTGCGGTGGGCCCTCGGCTTGCCATCCCGGATACATATCCAGGCTACTTCGAGCTGCTGAGCGAGGAGGGCCGTGCCGTGAGGTGCATAGAGGGCGTGTCGGAACTAGCGCGGCGGCGTCTGGAGGCTGGGTGCCTTGTGCGGGACCCGGTGCGGGCTATTGTGGCGCGCTCTGACGAGGATGGCGGCATTACGGCCGACGGGGCACGGACCGTGGCAGCCGGAGAGACGCTTGTGCCCGCTGGTGAGGTGCAGCTGGGCGGTGGGACGAAAGGACGCTACCTGCGGTGCCAGGACTCTCGCGGCGACACGGTGCTGCTTGGAATGGACCAGCGTGGGCGGTTCAGTGCACTAGCTCGCGAGGATAACATCAGCGGGGTGCACACGGCGCGCAACCTGTTAAGCAAGCGCATGCCTCTCACAGTGCGACTCGTGCACGGATCACCGCCTCGGGGCCTTAAGTCTCCCAGCCACTTCGTACCCGAGCTACGTCTACTCTCTACTTTCGAGGAGGAGCACGTGTTCGCACTCCCTCTGCAAAAGGAGACGGGAGCCATAATCGCGCTGCCATTGGCCGCGCCACTCAAGCTCCAGCGCACACGCAACGACGAGCAGCTGAAGTCCCTCAAGGAATTCCAGAGGCTCGTCGACAAGTGTAGCCGCCTCGTATCCGATGTGGCGGACAGAATCCATGTGCTTGACGGAAAGCTTGGAGACTCCAAAGCATTGCGCGTGAGCAACCAGAGCTCCGTTATCAAAACGGGCTACTTCTTGCGGAGAAGTGCCTCTTCGGATTCGGCCAACCACCACCACCATCACCACCACCACAGTCACCACAGCCATAGTTACAGTCACAGCCGGGACGAGAACCGCGTCCCCAGCTCGCACGCGGACGACTATGACGAGATTGATCAGATCTACGACTATGTCCGCGGTTTTGCCCCTCTTCCCAAGAACATCCGATCACCTTTCGCGGACACGCAGATCGCAGCACCGATAGCGCCTCTGGAACCCACCAGTTCCCTTCCAGCCCTTGTGCCATCCGCTGATAATGAGCTAAAGCCTGAGCCTCCTCCCATCGAGACCATCCCTACCAAGAAGCTGCAGGCAACACAAAACAAAGCAGAGAAACGCATGCGCCCAGGAGCCGCCGCGGCGTCTACTAACAAGGAGAAGCCCGCAGCGCCCGTGAAGCTGTACGTGAAGAACGGCAACAGCCAGAGAGGACGCTTGTTTCGCCATAAGGAGCAGGCTGCCAGCCAGGCAGGAACCGTAACCAAAGCTAGCTCCCCGCTCTTCAACATTCGGTACAAGTCGCTTAGCAACCTGCAGCAGGCCATGGAGCTAGAAGGTACACTGGACTCCAGTCACTCCGGTGGCCGCACGTCGGGGGATTCCGGTGCGGGAGCCAAGTTGCCCGAGAAGAGGTCCCGTAAACTTAGCCGCCCCCGGTCCCTCACAAACCTAGTGTGGGAGCTGCGGGGAGGGCTGGGAGTGCCTCCAGGAACCCAGCACGACTCAGAGCGCAAGTCAAAACCCAGTAAAGTGGAGCCCGGCACCCAGCGCAACAACAGCAACAACAAACTGATTGTCAGCGGCCAGAAGCGCATAGGAACCCTCTATCTGTGATGCAGTGTCCCTAGCAGCAACATGGCCGTCTTTCAGGTACACAACAAGCTTTAGTACTTATCGCGACAGGATTTTACGTTTACTCAGGTTCACGGTGTCACGAAGAGAGCTCGAAAGAATAAAAAATGGATTGAATGATGAATGAAGAGAGAGGATAAAGAAGGGAAAAAAGGAAATAAATAAATAAGGAATTTAACCATTAAAAATTCCTTCTAATTCACGCTATTGTGTGCAGCGCCTAATTTCGCAAGTGAATTACTGCAAAATGAACATTCGATTCCGAACGAAGGAGCCATGATGTCCTGACGGTCAGTCTTAAATTAAATATTGAAGCATCTAAATTCTTGTGGCCATGGCCCAGGACACGAGAAAGTTTTCAGGTTTTCTAGGTTGGAGAAAACCGCATAATGAGCATCTTCACAAGATATTGTTAGGGCAAGCATGTCGAAGCAGAGAGCAGTTGAGAAATTCGCACAAAATTTTAGTCAGAAAACCTGCAGGGAAGAGACCGCTTAGATGACCTACATCCATGGTTAATATTAATTGGATCTACGAGTACGTAGGATATCCACTGCATTTAACTGACCCAGGGCTGTTTTGAGCACGGTGATGAGCCTTTGGGTTGTATTAAGTGTGCTGAATTTCTTAGCCACCTAATGACTGCCCTGCTTGCAAGCTGCTTTCACGCTGGGTTCTCGCTTCGCATCCTTACTCTTATACCTTGAAGACGGAGACGTGTTTCTCCGATACATCAGATGACCTGCACCGGATGACATGGCCTTATATTCCAGAAGGCAGAACTCTTCTCAACCCTCAAATCCTACTTAACGAGTATTGGTTTCTCACACAGTGGAACTCGTCTCTCTGGCGGTTCGCGCAACTCGCAAGTCGCCACAAAGTGAGAAGTCTGCTAGATCTCGAAGCTATAGTAAACTTCTGACACTATCCCAAACCATTACTAATTGTAGTTGCTACGTGACATTTAACGGACATTCTAGTAGCAGTTTGTCGACATTCAGTATTTGTTTAATTGATATGCTGCTGTCTGATTGTAGCAGTGTCTGCACAATAAACAGAGAAAGGAAACTGAGTAGTTCCAGTTTTGTAAAGTTGTGGGAAACAAATTAGAGTTTTATAGTTTCAGTGAATTCGTCTTGAAATTCCGCAAGCTTCACATCAGATAATTTTTGTATTGTAAGATTTGAGGCTTTCACGGCGGTGACTATGAAGAAAGCAGTCTTCTGGGATTTGGCACCGTGTATATGTGGCGTTAACCGACGTTTCGGAGGAACGTATCGCCTCCATCTTCAGGGTAGAAGAAAAAATATAACAAATCTGCAAGCGAAGAGACCGTGAGAATCGGTAAAAGCAGACTGCTTCTTCTACCCTGAAGATGGAGGCGATACATTCCTCAGAAACGTCGGTTAACACCACATATACACGGTGCCAAATCCCAGAATTTCTTCAATTTTTGTATTATACAAAAATTTCAGACGTAGTTTGTTAAATTAATTGACTACAACCATGACCGTTACCTAGTCGAAGGGTACGCTATTTTGGATTGTAACGCCGTTCAGTTGCCTTAGATACCGACATTTCGGAGGAACATATCGCCTTCATTATCGGCAGGGCCCGGATTTTGATGAGCTGAAAATATTTAAAAAATTACCTATAAAATAACCGAAAAAATCCAGAAAAATGACCAAAAATATGACCCAAACCTGTAATATGCAGGGCTCGGATTTTGATGACCTGAAAATATTAAAAAAATTACCTATAAAATGACCGAAAAAATCCAGAAAAATGACTTCAAGGAGAAAGAGAAAGAACACTTCGCTTCCATGTTATTGGCATTTCAGAAAACATATGAAGAAAAAATACCTAAAATGGCCAAAAATGACAATAAATACCCTTAAAAGTCCAAAAATTTATCAAAAAATGACAAAAAAAAATACCTATAAAATTTACATTTCTATAACCAGCTGCTCATATCCGAGATTTATATATTTAAGAGCATCGCGTAGGATACAAGGAAAAAAAGATATGTCATCAAAATCCGGGCCCTGGTTCTCAGAGTTTCAGAGTAGGCAAGCAAGAAATCAGCTGAAACAGGACGACTTAACACGTTCGTTCTCCTCAGAACTTGTGGTCCAAGTTTAATTTAAGCGGTTTCGCCTGTTATACCTTCCTATTGAATCAGATCACTGCAGTAGTTATGTCACCACCCTGCCAGTGCTGATTGTCTGATACTTAGCATATTTGCCGACACTGTTTCAATTAAACAGATTATTATATATCGAAATAGATGGGAAGATGGTGCTGTGTTGTGAGCATGTAAGGATTCGCTCGAAGAGCAGAGGAAAACCGCGATAAATCGAGAATAGTCGGTAAACCTACGGAGATTGGAACCGAAACATATTTATGTGTTTCCATCTGTCCCCTTTCTTTCTAGCGCTTGCAAAACTCTGATAGCTCGAAGCGTGTAGACCAATTTGTTTCACCGCGATTATTTCATGAGACAGGACTTCGGAAACGTTACTTTGCGGCACTGTGTGCCGTCCGACTTATCAGTCAATTCCTTACTCATGAGTCATGACACAGTCTCAGATCAACTCGGCTGATAGGCTCGATCCGTATTACGTTGTGGTCTAAGCATTTTTTTTTTGTCTGGACACACCCATTCTACGGGTGCCGGCATGGTCGGGTTTACAAAGAAATAACCTCCGCAACTTCTTGATACAAGCTGGATACATCGACACTTAACGAAATGAGTGGGTTGGTAACAGACTAATCTCAGTTTATTTCAAACCGATTGCCATACTTCCCCTGACGTACGCGTATGATAAACGTACCAGTATCCTGTGATCAATCTAATTTTCATAATTTTGGTCCCATAATACTGTAACGGATTTGATCAACACGTTGCCAGGCAACAGCTCTGTAAACACAGACCACCAGCCAACAATAGAGGAAGCCGTGTTTCATGTAGATCCGACCGACGCGCAAAGTGACTGACAGGATAGCGATCACGAGATATGTGTTCACTGTAGGTTCATGTCCGTTCCACAGCTAAATGAGTAATAGTGACAGTATTCTTCCAGGGCAGTAAGCTGGAGGAGTGAGTCCAGAAGAATTTTTACTTCGAGGTTCCAGTGTGATTGAAGACGAAATGGCAAGAAGACTTCATAGTGATTTGAAGTGCTAATTTCTGTGTTGATTTCCGTTGCCAGGAAACGACTAGTGAAAACTGAGAATCCTAGTGCGTGTGCAGCAGTGAACTGGAAAGTGTAAATACTGAAAGCGCTATAATTATATATAATTACTGGTGCTGTGTATCAGGAGTAAATGAACCCGTTCATCAAATTCGTAACCCGCGTTATTAGTCAGTAATACATGTGACAGTATTTCCAAATTCTCATCAGCTCTCAGATGACACGATACATGCCTCGGCTTTCGTTAATACTGTCAGAGCATTTAAAATGTTGACAGGTCAATATTTCCAGTTCTTTTGTCCGACATCTTGGTAAGGCCTGGGTTTACATTCTGTAACTTGTTTCCCCAGGAGAGAACACCATTTGGGAATGACAAGAACGAAGAATGTGGGAAGGATCATCAGTGGCAAAATAGCCCTTTTTGAGCCTAGCCCTTCTTAGATAATTCTGCCAGATTTGTCTTGTCAGCCCATCCGGTTTTATGTCTTTGGCTTTCGCAACAGCAATATTTTTACAGAGCAAGGTCGTCAGCCTTACGTCCAACGCCCAACCTGGAAGACCATCTCCTTGTATTTATGTCCTCCCGTGACAGGGTGGCCCAGTTATACCCCATGCACCAAGTTTCCTTTTCATCGCCTTTTGCGACTCGCAGGGATACGGTGGAGTCATTATAACGTACCGCGCTTTCATCGTGACTCTTGAGCGGATGCCATCGCCGGCCTCGTTGCAACGTAAACGCCGTCCAATTCTCATTTCTAATCTAACACAAGAGACCCACGGGATGAGTTGAATAGCAAGTGTATGGGGCCCAGTGCCCTTCTGAAGCGTATGCAGACTAGGGAGGACTGCATGTGACCAGCCTGTCACATTTTGGACAGCCCTGCCATAAACCGGAATAATAGTAATTCATTCATTCATCCATCTGTAATCTGCCAAGACGACAGGTCCACAGTCTCTTCCAAAACAGTTCCTCCACGTGATGCGATCTAGAGCTTTCTCCTCCAAATGAGAATATCCTCTTCTGTCCCCAAGGTCATCCAGCATCTTCTTACGTCTTCTTCCTCGTCTTCTGGTCACTTCTATCCGCCCCCCTATCTTTCCTCTTTTAGAAGGCAGTTACCGCGTAAGATATGTCCAATCCAATTAGACTTCCGTTTTCGTATTTCGTGTAGGATATTCCTCTGCTCACTGACTCTGAATAACACTTCTTCATTTCTCACATAATCGGTCCAGCTGATCTTCTCCATCCTTCTCCAACACCACATTTCAAAGCTTTCCAGGTGTTTCTGATCTACTGCCCTAAGTGTCCAAGTTTCAGCCCCATACAAAGCGATGCTCCAAACGTAGCATTTCACTAGTTTCCTTCTCAAATGTAAGTCCAATTTGCTGGTAAAAAGATTCTTCTTCTTGCTAAATGCAGCTTTTGCCATGGCAAACCTAGATTTAATTTCACTAGTACACCTTCCATCATCTGTTAAGAAGCTACCCAAATATTTAAAACATTTCACATTCTCCAGTTGTTTTTGGTCTATCTTTATTGTGACTGGGGTTGGTTGTCTCGAAATTTTCATTACTTTTGTTTTTTCCACATTCATTTCCATGCCATAGCACCTTCCAATTTAGATTAGTGTATCAAATAATAGTAATAATAAAATAAAAATCATATATGCAGTTTGTAATTGTCCATGTATGAGCCTGTGAGATAAGCATAGTTCCACTATTTTAGTGAAGTTATTCAATAGTTTAGCGGAATGGGAACCTGGTGAGAACAAGTAAATGTAACCAGGCCAGCGAATATCGTGCCTTGTATTGTTCCATTGGCTG